AAATGTGATATTCATTTGTAATTACCATTTCCAATTAGTGGGAATAGGAAAACTAACAAAATCGCTCCCATGGTTGGGGGAATTATACGTAGATACCTAATGAGATTAACAGCATGAGTGCGTTTGAATACATAATATTATTGTAGATTATTTAAGACTGATTTGAACATATGAAAAAATATTGAATTACCTATAAACTGTTATTCGTTACATTAATTTAACAGGAAAGTAAAAGAGGTTAAATCTGTAGTGATGTATTGTGCACTTGTAAGGATAGTAATTCACTAAATTTACATACATTTCTGGTAAGTAAGTATAATAACTAAATATTTTGTAGTAATAATACCTCCGATACAAAAGAATGTGTCGATTATGTTAAGATTTTTAAATAAGAAAAAATAGTAATTATTATGCAATTGTCTCATCATTGATTTCTGAGTTTGTTTGGAGTTAATCATCATGTAATCGAGAATAGCAAGGTGGTTATACAGCACCCAAAATGATAGTATTGTCCGGATCCCATCGAATATAACAAACTTTTCATTACCACGATTTGGATCAAAAATAGTTTTAAAGTTTTTGATTACAGAAAATGATTCGTAAAAATCAATGAGTGCTGATTTGATGTCTGTTTTTGTGCCAAATAGTAGATTATATGATTCATATAACGTTGACAACAACACCAACACTGATAATACAGCGAATATTTGATTACAGAAAATGATTCGTAAAAATCAATGAGTGCTGATTTGATGTCTGTTTTTGTGCCAAATAGTAGATTATATGATTCATATAACGTTGACAACAACACCAACACTGATAATACAGCGAATATCCATCTGGTCATATAATATAAAGTAAATTGTAATTATAACTTATAAATTGATGTTACCTACTTTATAATATTGAATATAAACTATAAGGACTCACATTGAAGTCAATTGATAGCCATTGAATTTAATGGGTTTATCCTGATAGTCGCAGTCAGGACTTATGATAACCGGAAATTGTGTTATTGGATAAAATGCTGTCAATTATTATAAATAAAATATAAATATTATGTCATCAAGATGCTAATCATAAAATAATTAATTATGAAATAACAAACCCTTGTTTATAACCAACTCTATATCCTGGGCCTTACAGGTGCTGGGAATACATAAACCCATTGGCATATGAGTGGTAAATGTCTTGGCAAACAAATTAATGGAAACCAAGTCTTTAATATATTGTCGTGTAATATGTGCAGCGGAGAACCTGGGTGTTACATTCTGGGCATTTTTCATTGAATTCACCATGTTCATGTCCGACTGGTTATTCAATGCGTTTATATCGACAACTTGAGACAACTCGTCATATGCCCGGTCAGTGATTATAATGTCGGGGACACCCATCCAACAGTACTGTCCCTGAAATGGGGTTAAATCTGGTTCATCGGGACTTTTAAATTGCAAACATTGGTCGTATCCAATGGAAGGCTTTTTAAATGATAGTACTCCCGATACTGGCTCTACCAGAGTCTCTGTAACTTTATTTAGTCATCAAATTAGTTTAGCTATCATATACACATAATTTGTTAACAAATAATAGTTTATAAGTTAAAATAAATTATTTTATATTATTCTTATCTAAAAATGAATAATAGCTATTTTTGTAATTTATTATTTATTTTATAATTTAATTTTTTACATAATATAAGAATTTAGAAGTAATATTAAATTCCTTAACTTTTTTATATAGTGTATAAGATTAATAAAACTTTCTATTGCAAATAGTCTGATTTGTAAATATTTATTTGCTTTGTTGCATATTTAGTTGCATTTAAAAGTTTATTGACTATATAAATTAAGTTTGTAAATTAATAAATTAAATTATTTAAACTAATCATCAACTAATTTATAAATAGTTTTGTTTTGTAAAATCCCTCACAATGTACAAACATCATACTATAAAATATAAATATATTTAGTGGAATTTACACAATTACCATTTACATAATAAGTCTTTATAGATAGTAATAAACATATTTACCAGGTTCATTATTTTTAGAAAACCTAAATATTCTTTAATCGATTGCATATAATTTGCTTAATATTATGAAATAAATTTTAATTGTGTAATTTGTAATCGGAAAATGATTTTAAATTAATTAGTGTTAACAAGATATACTAAGTTATGATAATAATACATTTTAACATTAATGAGAAAAGTATAAATAAATGAGTTTAAAGTATAGTTAATAGATACTTACTGTACATGCTTTTTAAAACCTCATTACTGATCATTTAAATAATTTTTAGAATACTGTATATATTATGACAATCTGTTAAATTTGAAAAATCTGAATGAGTAGGGCGAAATTCTTATTATTTCTATTAAATTTATCAACAACTCGAAATTAAATCTTTTTCCAACCAATGTACAATATATCAAATAATAAAATTGTAGATTCATAATAATAATAAAACAATCAATGAAAGCATCAATCAAATGAATTAATAATTAAACATAATTAGATATTTTAATTAGTAAAAAGAAAAATAATCAAAAATAATACTTACACGGGAGGGCCCACTCTTTGTTATCTCTAATGCCAGACATAATCTTAACCAATGATGACAAGCAATCATTTGGTAAATCAATTTCCATCAATACTTCACTCATTCTTGCGCTCAATCTCTGGACAATGGGTTCGTAAGTATTTCGGAGTTTTTCTGTAAAATTCTTGAGACGACTAAAC